AATCGTTTTTCAAAATCAAATCACGGCTCTTTTAAATGAAAATTTTATTTTTAGAATGCAACAAATCTTTTAAATACAATTTTTCGCATATTTAAAATTTTCATACTTTTATGCTTACGTATTTAGGAAATTAAATTTCTACATTTTATTTTCCAGGAATTCTTTTTAAACATAAAATGTAAGATTAGAAGTTTGGGAACGAATACTACTATTGATAGTTTTATTAAATGGTCTGATTTTGAAGTAAAACTCAATGAGAAATTTTATCTTGCAAAGCATTCTATACATAAAGCATTGTGCGGTAAGTCTTAATTATTTCGTAATAGATAGATGTGTATCTCTAAAAAGATTTGTTTATTGCAGACAATATTGATACAAGAACTGTTCTCAATTTAATACGGGAGCTCGTGACAAATTGCAACGTGTACATGAGTCAAAGTAAAAATCCAAACTTGTTTCTTCTTAGAGATATCGCAGTATATATTACGAAGATGTTTACCATTTTTGGGGCGATTTCTTCTTCGTACGATTCAATTGGATTTCCAATTAATGATGAGACAGTCAGTACAAATGTAAGATCAATACAAACACGATAGCAACTTCTCTATTACATCGATAAATTCAATAAGTGTAGCTATTCAAATTTTGCGCTGTTTTTTTTTTGTTAAGTTTCATTTCTTGCAGTATGAATAGCCTTTGAAATCCGAGTTTGCAACTTATTTCAATTTGATTCGTAAAAAATGAAATTTGAATAGGAATTAAATCGTGTAATTTTTTTTCGAAATTGTTTTTCCTATGCCTGATTTCGACGATTACTTCTTATGAGCAAGGATTATCAGCGTAAATATTATAATACTATTTCATGCGCTATTCACTTTTTCGAGAATTTTCTTGCTTTGGTAATCTTGATTCACAAATTTCGAGATACTTGTATATATATTTTTGTATATTTTATGATCAGGTTGAAGAAACTGTTATGCCGTATGTTAAAATTCTGGTGAATTTTCGAGAAAAAGTTCGAAATTGTGCGAAAACTTTGAAAGCGAAAGATATTTTACAAGAGTGTGATCAATTGCGCGATGATATTTTGCCTAACTTTGGTGTGCGGTTGGAAGATAGTAATGAAGGAGAGTGTAAAGTAAAATTAGTCAACAGAGAAGAATTGTTGAAGGAGAAAGAAATTAAGATAAAACTAGAACTTCAGAAAATCTTAGAGAAGGAAAAAATAAAAGCGGAAGTTGCTGCTGCGGCAGCAGTAAAAGAAGGGCAAAAAAGAATACCGCCAAATGACATGTTCAGATTGGAGAAAGATAAATATTCTCAATTTGACGATAAGGTAAACATTTTGCTCATTTTGCATATAACATTTATTATATCATAAATATACATTATACTGATTTTGATCTTATGATCAACTACATTATACTGACAAGTGAGTTTATATTCCCATTTTATATGCTTTTTAAATATGCAGGGATTGCCAACACACGACGCCGAAGGTAAAGAAATTAGCAAAAGTTTATTCAAGAAGTTGCAAAAGTTACAGCAAGCACAGGAAAAAAGATATAATGAATATTTAGCTTCCACGCACAATGGTTGCTTGTAAGATAATCCTTGGTATCCTTACACATAAGGAATTATGTCGACTTATTTGTGAAGTTACAGTATAGTATAGCAGTTTTATATTTGAACAGCTGTATTTCTTGTGTTCCTTTATCACATTACAAGAATAATAATTTCTTTGCTATAAAGTATTGAAAAATATCTAAATTATAACTGTCTATGCGACACATCAATATAATTTTAAATATATGAGTACATATTAATATACATACATGTAAATATATATACAGTGCTCGCCAAAAGTTCCGGGCCATCTGAATAATTTCTGAATGGTCGGGGGAGAGGGGAGAAGGCATGAAAATCTTAAATGGCATTCAACTCCACATATCATTTAAGATTTTCAGACCTCCTCCCCCCTCCCCCTAGAAATGTTAAGATGGGTGTTTTTGAGATTCAATGATAGATTTTATGATCCTGTTGCATCCCTGTAAATTTTAATCCTATATCTCAAATCATTCAGAAATTATTCCGATTGCCCGGGACTTTTGGTGGGCATATGTATACAGGGTGTCATTGACCGATTAAATCACCTATCAAGAGCAGGTAGAGTAGACTGAACTAATTCAAAAAGTCTTATATAATTTTGCAGTTTATGCAATATTTAACGAGGTATTAGACCTTAAAGATAGCCGAATAAACGCGTTCGTCCGGCCTACTACTGTCAAGCGTGTAGGACTCTCTTTACGCGCGCAGGTCACGAGACGCGTAAATATTGCATAAACTGTAAAATAGTATAAGACTTTTCGACTCAGTTCTGTCTCTTGATAGGTGATTTAATCGGTTAATGACATCCTATATATATATATATTTTTTTTTTTTTTTTTAATTGACAGGAAACTGTCTAAGGTTTGTTCTGAAAGCTTTATTTAAAGATTAAATTTAAATGCCTTATTTTCTATCAGTATCTTTCATTTATGATTAAGTAAGTCTTCAATTATCAAACTTTTTAAAATTGTTTTGTAATTTATTTTATTGTATTAATCTTGAATTAATGTAGGAGAAAATGGGGGAGAATTCCAGTATTGTAATTTATCATTATTAAAGGGATCCTAAAGATTTAGTCGTAACGTAATTTGAACCTATACATAGACGATTTATATGTCATTGACATGTCACTACATCAATATTACGCACACATTGTACACATAAATATTTGTATAACAATAACTTTTAAAATTAACAAATAAGTAATAAAGCTCGAATGATTAAAATTTAATATAATAAGAATAATACGGCGTTTTAATTAGACGTCTAACTCTAATTCGGTAAAACTTCCCCTTTACACAGTCAGCCTGAGGGTCAAGGTCACTCGAAAGTAAAGGGGAAGTTTTACCTCTAATTCTATAAGAATTCCACGTTGTTTCTTCATACGAACTACTAGTTTGCTAATTATTTCGTAAGTACATATTGCATAGCTTTTATATGAAGCAAATGTTTGTCACGACATAGCTCGAGTGCTGTATTAAACTTCACCTTACAGACACGTATTTAATGCATATACTTTAATCCTGAAAAAAGATTTTCGAATCTACGAAAGAGGAAAAAAGTCATTGTTATATAAAAATTATATAATATAATCGGTAAATAAAAATAGCTTTAGGATCTCTTTAAAGTAAACTAATTTTATAAAGCTTTGTGTGTTTGTAATGCATATCGCAATAAATATTGTGTTGCTTTATCTATAAAATTGCAGTGAATATCTGTGTATGATTTTGTATATTAAAATCATGAGATCACTAAATATAATGTACAATATATATATATAAATGTATGAAAAGAATGCTTCAATATCGCCAAACTACCAACAGCATATTCATACTTGATGTACGTGCACATACATCGGCATATCGTACGGCCGATGCGATTCAAAACTGGTCGAACAAAATAAATGTTACGCGTTTTCACTCGACCGGATGAATTTGACACGCGATGCTGTCCATTATTAAAACATAATACCCCTTTCACACGTAACGAGTGGGCCGACAGTGACAGCTTTGTAAATGCGAAGGCGATATAATGCTCGATTCGCGAAGCGAGCCAATATTCATCCTATATTCAAAAGCAGTGAAAACCCGAGGTAGACGAACAGGTCGACCCGTCAGTCGCTTTTCCAACTTCCTGCAAAATACGCATCGTATCCGATAATAACGATGTCCAGTCCGAAAACTCGGAATAATCGAGGAAGATGGTCGACCTGCTCACGCTCTCGATTACAATTTCCGGATTGGAATGAAGCCTAGTATTTAAACTCCTCGCGGCAATGTTTTCGTTCTTAATCGAGAAAGTTTAATGAGATACATCTCATGTTAGGGACTACGTTATTTGCGTGATTCGATTTACGCCGAAGCGAAGTTATAATATAACATCGAAGCTGATCAATCATAGCTATTCTTCTGAAGAATGGAATGACTGTGATTCGCCAGTTCCATAACTACGGATACTATTAAATTCAATATTAAGCTCGATGTTGTAACTTTGGCGTAAATCGAGCCGTGTAATTACATTTGCTTTACACATTTGTGTCATTAATTACACTCTTACACTCGTTTCTACCGATATAGATTAACTGTATAATCTCGGTTTAACTTACTATTTATTTTTTTCTAATTTCTAGAGAAAAAAACGTTTGTTGTAACTTTTAAACGACTCAATTACAAATGACCGAAAATTAAGTTACTACAAACGATTAATGAGAATATGATGTCATTTCCTTTTTTTTATTTAAAATTAATTTCTATAGCTATTTTTAAATTGATTATAATTAAATTTATTTTTTAATTACAAATTAAATGATAAATGCAATATAAACAACTATAATACAAAAACGATTTTTTTATTTTTCAACTAGAAACCAAAATGTCGGTATTACAAACAATTACAAATAACAATTTCATCCATAAAGGTACCGTTTAATTTGTAGCTAAAAAATATTTCTTATCTGTTTTTCAAAAAATCGATGGCATTCTAATTTTTCAACTATAAACGAAAAAATAACTAACACAATTATCTAGGCCAGTATTCATAGTCAGTTCTTCATATTCAAGACCGTTTTAAGTTGAGTCTCACAAAAGGCTGCATTAGCGTTTTTTAAGACATTGTTTAAGATGGTTTTTAAATAAGAATCGAATATGAAATATGAACACCGGCCCTACAGGCAAAATTCTACAAGAAACGTCCTTTAAGATCTGAATTGGTAAAAGTCTGGTGCCAACTTCACGGAAGTCTTCGTCGTCGTCGTCGTCGCTGATACCTGGATGTTGACGGGAGGTACAGGGTCGACGAACCAGCCAATCGTGCAGAGGCCCCCGCATCTGCATTCTAATGAGACTCACCTGGGTATATATGGACTTAAGTCCGCAACTTCGTTGCTTTTTCCAAGATATCTCTCTGCTAGACAGGTGAGTCCTCTTCTTTTTCTGTTCGCTCTCTCTTTTGCGAGATACACCGTAACACCGCATAGTTCTCTACAGAACTGTTTCTGTGAACGAGCGTGTTCTTCAATAATATAATTTTGGAGTCATCGGCGAGAATATTTGTATGTGAACGAGTGCGAGGATTTTGCTACCGCGATTAGCGAAACGCTAATGTAAAATTGACACCGAGCCGGTAACACAATAGCGATCGTTCTTGAATTATCTTAATGGTGGATCTTATTTACGATGTATCAATGATTTCTATTGTTAAATATTACAATGATAAGAATAATCCGAGACGGTGAAAAATCAAAGCCGGATAGACAGCTTCGACTTGACTGCCAATTTTCTTTTCGATTATTTAAATACTATGTTGTCTACGATTAATCCTTCAGTTCCGTGACAGCCGATTAGATTCCAAGATTCTAAGATCTGTCTTCTTTGAAAGCAAAACAACAGTCCGATTTTGTAGATAATATATAAGGCTGCGTAGATAGAGATTTTCATAAATGAATAACGCAAGTTATTCTGAAGAATGTGATGTGTGCACGTCTGCGCATGCATATGCGTTTATTTCAGTGGAAGTATAAGAATAAAGTCAGTATATTAAAAAACGATGTATTAAAACTATATGTATTAGCTGACAACGATGTAATTCTTATAAGAAATCCAATTTAGGAATCTATTCTGTAACTGTTAACAATTGTAGATAACTATAAAAACCGTTTATCGTTACAGCTAATCGTTAAGAGTTACGGAATAAGGCTTCTTACAATACTAGCCAATTTAATTGAAAATCGTTGATTTTGAATATTAAAAGCATTGAACAACAAAGTGGTTAAGTAATTAATCACTATCTTTCAATATTAAATTTTCATTAAAAAAATGGAAGACATCAGTTTTATCTTTTTCTTAATTCTTAGTAAAAAAAAAATCACGATAGTTTAGAAACAAAATAATTGTATAATTTATAGTAAAATTATTTTTCATTAATCTTAATAATTTCTCTGTTTATAAATAAAATATATTTTTTATTGTATTATCGATGAAATTGATATTATGATGAAAAATAACTTTATTAAATATATATAGTATGATACAAAAGAAGGACTACGAACCTCATAAATTAATTTGACAAAAATAAATAAAGACAATTTTAATACGAAAAAAAAGTTTCGACTCCGATCGAGTCTTTATCAATATTTAAGATTTGATTTAAATTGTAAAATATATAAGTTATGAAATACATAAATTCTCTGTATTTTGTGTCCTTGACTGACCACTTGTAGATTTTAACTTAAATTTCATTGTCTTGATGATAAATATAAAATTTTTAATTAGAAAGAAGATCCCTGATTTAAAAAAGTTGATAGAGAACGACAGAAAAATCCTATCATTTTGAATATGGAATCTGGTTCGTAAATTCACTAATTTGAATCAAATCTTACAGGAATCTTGTACAAATGTTATAGAACTTGATAAAATACGATAGAATTCATAGCCGATCAATCGTGATGCTTGCTCGAAGTCGACGATAGCAAATGTGATATAGACTTATATAAAACAATATACAAATTGATATAAATGCTATATTGTTCTTAATCGTCCTCTATCAACTTTTTTAATCAGGGATTATACAATGTGACATAAAAATTGTTTGTTCGTTATCACAGTGATATTTTATACTGTCTTGATAAACTTTCAGTGTAAATTTATTATATTATACAATTATATTTTATTGTAACGCTTCTGAACTATTGCGATTTTTTTTACTATTTATAACTATTTCTACTCCCCATAGCAAAAATATCCTAAATATATTATGAATATTCTATAGACGTTGCAATATTTTTAAACTGTCCCTGTGATATTTATACAGCTGTGTGAATTATAAGGAAAAATTGTTATTGAGCAGGATACTGTTCAATAATAACAATATATTGTCCAATAATTTACACAGCTGTTGGTTGTGTTATGGTAAAATGATCAGTGGAGTGGACAGTATAATTAAATATATTGTAATCATTTTGTCATACAACTCACACAGCTGTATAAATTATTGGACAGTATATTATTATTACACAATATCTAATAATAATTTTGCGATACGACAGGTGTATAATAAATATATCACAAGAATGGTTTAAAGATCGCAATGCGTCTGTAGAATATTCATATAATATATTTAGGATATTTTTCTGCTGTGAGACGAGTATAAATAGTCATTTTTGTCGTCTTTTTTACATGCTGAACACGAATTTATTGGCAAAAGTTGACTATCATATCATAATTTGAAAAAATACCATCAGGAGAGGTCACATTTCTTTGGTATACTTTCTCAAAATTATGATAGTCAATTCTACCAACAGATTTGTGTTCAACAGGCAAAAATGTGTTGGAAGTGACTATTCCTACTCCCCACAACAGAAATATCTTAAATATATTATACGAATATTCTCCAGACATTCCAATATCTTTAAATTGTCATACGATGTTTATACAGTTATGTGAGGCAAAATGATTAGTGGAGTGGACAGTATAATCATTTTGCCATACAATTCACATTATTATTGGATTAATACTGTCACACGATGTATCATTACGCTAGCACACAAACAGATGATCTTTTAACTAACGCTTATGCGATTAGTCAAACTTTAAACTTTATGCTTAAAAAAGCTACTTTGTGGTAAAAATAGTTTACACTTTTATTACTTAATTTTTCACGAGGGGTTCCATGCTGTACTAATATTACTCTCAAATTCCGGAATACCTTGTATGTAAACATACTAAACATATTACGAAACGATTTGCTCTCGCATTTATATTTTGCTCTCATCTTGAATTTTGCAGATCCCGTTTCTAATAACAACTTCGAGAGCAACCTCGTAAACACCGTTAATGTCCGACGATGTTCACGCGCGAATCTGGTCGAATTTTTTCGACATAGAATTGCTTACCGAACGTCCACTCCGTTCTCCCGTTTCGTTTCTAATTGTTTCTTTTTGCTCTTTTTTTTTTTTTTCTTTATTGTTGAGACCGAAACGAAGGTCAACACCTATGTCGCATCTACCTACGTGACGAACGCACGAGCCAGTGACTGTCGAAATTTTTCTCTTGTGAACTTTTCTTTATCATTCATATTTTAATGTTATCAGTCGTTTGAGGTTTAGGCGGATCGATGATAGTTATATTTTCCGTAATGTTCGGTTAAATCGTTTCGTTCGCCAATTTGCAACGCGGCAGTTTGTATCACGAAGTACACACTGCTTCGATTTTATTTTGATTTATTATTTTCTTCTTTTTTTTTTTATATCTAAATATTTCGGAGATTTTGTATTGTGATGTTTCGCGAAGCATGGACAGAATACTCTTTCGCTCGGTTCCTTTGTTTCATTTTCGATGGCCTAAACGAAGGTCAGATCGGAGTTGCCTGCACGTATGGTAAAGGCAACGAGACTCCACGGGCTAATATTAACATATCAAAACGAAAAATCCAAGATTCTTATAAGAGGATCACCGTTACTGATCAAGGAGCAGAGCCGTAATCAATGTCGAATAACAAAACATTAATTAATACCGTTCAGTCAGGTCGAACCGTTATACTTCGCCATCGGCAAAGTAGCCAATGCGATATTGCTAGTACGCGAGGATACTTTTAACGATATCTCTATGTGTGAGGCTGCTGCGAAGTACTCGCAGACTCATATCACAAACGTGTGATTACTCGAATACAAATGTCGCCCGCGTCTTTGTTCTCTGTTTTATGCACACGTCACGCCACGGTTCTGTAAATCAAGGGTGAAGATATTTATTCGAAAAACAATGTACATTGTTGGTCAACAATTTAAGACTATTTAATTGATAATGTCTACTACAATATATAAAATTAAATTAAATATACACACGTAATTTAATGTATTTTTATTATTTCATTAACTATATATATAATATTATATACATAATAAAATGAAAAATAATATAAAATATTAAGCGAAAAAAGACCGATGATTAAATACGTGAGTGAAAAATGTCGTATTCTAATATTTCTTGTGAATTTATACAATTTTCAGTTCAAGCTAAAGTATGCGCTGATAATCTCGATAATCGGTCTTATTCTAAACTAAAACTGGAATAGTAATACTATATTACAATTGAATTCGACAAGTAATTTAATAATCAGCGCATAGTTAGTTAGCTTGAATTGGAAATTGTATAAATTCACAAGAAATATTATTATGCACGAAGAACTGTTTTGACCAAATAAGAGATAAATGTTTGGTAATTATTTATAACAAGGCATTTTTTGAATTTTAATGTTTTTTTCTTGCAATCTCGATAAAAATCTTTGTTACGATTCTAACAGTAATAATCAACGGAGAGAATGAAAAAAACTGAAAAAAAATGATGGAAATTTAGAAATACACTGGGCAACAAAATTAACGCAACACCTGTTTCACTCTGCAAAAATAGGCAAACTTCAAGATAGAATAACTTCGTCAAAAATCATCGTATCAAGATGTTTAAAAAAGTATTTTACAGCTTGAAACCTCTACTTTTCAGATTGCTACTTGAAAATGTGGTCTCACGGAGATTTTATGAAGTTACACAAACATAAATAAAAGTGCGTCAAACCTAAAAATTTTTTACGAAATTTGAAAATTTCCAACCCACGAAATAAAAATTATGCACAAATGTGGTTTACATCATTCGAAAGAGCGAATCTTTACCTTTAATTTGCTTTTCTACGAAACTCCGTATGATTTTTTTTCACCGAGTTATTCAACGTTGTTGTGTGTGTGTGTGTGTGTGTGTGTGCGTGCGTGTGTGTGCGTGTGCGCATGCGTGTGAGTGCGTTGGGTGAAATGCGTGGGTAACAACAAATAATTAAGTTCATGCGAATTTTATCTTATAATGCGCGTCTACATAAAAATAGAAGTTATGTTTTTTTTAATGCAGATTTACAATTCGTTTTTACCAAATAT